AACAATAGAGGTAATATGGATCTGAGAGACCACAGTAGAAAGTCTAGGGACTTCCCTGGTGGTCCAGCGGTTAAGACTCCGAGCTCCCAGTGCAGGGGGTCCGGATTCGATCCCTGGTCAGGGAACTAGATCCCACATGCCTCAACTAAGCACCTGCATGCCGCAACTAAAAGATCCTGCATGCCGCAACGAACATCCTGCATGCAGCAACAAAGATCCCACGTGCCGCAACTAAGACCCGGCACAGCCAAATAAATAAATAATTATTTTTTAAAAAAAGAAAGAAAGTTTAATATAATCGTGCTACGGAGGGAGTAAAGAGAGAGAATGGGGCATAAAAAAATTTGAAGAAATGATGACCTGAAATTTCATGAATTTTGGATCAACTTATAGATCCAAGAATCCCAACAAATCTCAAGCAGTATAAACATAAAAGCAAACAAACAGCCAGGCATATCATAGTCAAACTCTTGAAAATCAAAGACAAAGAGGAAACTGTGAGAACAGTTGGAGGAATAAGGACACATTACATGTGTCTGACTGCACATCGAAAAAATGAAGGTGAGAAGCAATGGAATGAAATCTACATTCAGAAAGAAAGCCAACCCAGAAATATTATTCAAAAATGAGGGAGAAATGAAGACACTTAGGTGACAGCTGGAGTGATTGCTTGCACTACAAGAACTAAGGTAGGAATGACCAGAGCAAATTTGAACACAGAAATGGCAGGAATGGTTCTGGGTTCTGCTGTCCACCAGCTGGCTCTAGGGATGGGCCCTGAGGAAGGTCCAGGGGCAAGCAGCACAGGCAGGCTTAACAGGCTGGCAGTCCTCAGGCAGCTGGTGTCACCTCTTGGGCTGTGTGTCCCTGTTTCCTTGCTGCCCTGGCTCTGGGGAGCCACAGACCTGACACCAACCCTGAACACTTCAGAGCCTGACGACTGCCTCTGGGCCTCCCAGTTCAAACACACATCCAGGTCCAATAAGCACATGAAAAGATGCTCAACATCACTAGTCACTAGGGAAATGCAAATCAAAACCACAAGGTACCACATCACGCCCATTAAGATGGCCATTATTTAAAAAAAAAAAGAAAAAGAAAAAGAAGAAAAGAACACCTGTTAGTGAAGATATGGAGAAATTGGAACCCTTGTGCATTGCTGGCGGGAATGAAAACTCATGCAACCACTGTAGAAAATTTGGCAGTTCCTCAAAAAGTTAAACATAGCATTACCATATGACCCAGCAATTCCACTCCTAGGTACATACCCAAAACAACAGAAAGCAGGGACTCGAACAGATATTTGTATACCCACATTCACAGCAGCATCAGTCACAACAGCCAAAAGATGGGAGGAACCCAAGTGTCCACCAACAGATGAATGGATAGACAAAATGTTGTATATATGTACAAAGGAATATTATTGTCTTAAAAAGGAACAGTAAGTCTGATAGGTGCCACACCATGGATTAACCTTTAAAACATTCTTCTAAGTGAAATGGCAAATAATACGTGATTTCAACTATACGAGGTACCTAGAATAGGCAAATTAATATGGACAAAGTAGAATAGAGGTTACTGGGAGCTTGGGAAAGGGGTGGTGAGGAGGAGTGTTTAATGGGGACAGAGTTTCTGTTTGGGGTAATGAAAAAGTTCTGGAGATGATGGTGGTGAAGGTTGCATAATAATATGAATATACTTAGTGCCACTGAATGTAGACTTAAAAATGGTTAAAATAAATTTTATGTATATTTTACCACAATTAAAAAATATATATATACATAGAAGATGGCCTGAATAACAAAATAAAGTTTTGGGCCCAAAAAGGTATTTTCTGATGGTGTGGCCCAGTTGGGTGGGTGTGGTTGGGTGTTTTGCACAAGTCTGCTGCCCACTCTCCGCTGACTGCCCTGAGTTGGCCTTAGCTGCCAAACTGTCGGGAACTCTGTCGGGAACTCCCCCTCTCCTTTGAAGCAGGAAGTTTAAATTATCAGGTCAATTAGGAAAGACACAACCGAAAAATACAAGTTTCATTCACACTTCCAGGAGGCGTTTCCTGGCTGGGTGCCACCTCTATTATTTTTGGCGAGGCTGCTGAAAGCCCCACAAACCCTGAGAAGGTACAGTGTAATCTTTGATTCTGTTTCAAGGATCAAAGCAAGTGAGTTTGGCTGTAAATGCAGATAACATTTCAGAGATGGTTTCATGAAAGAAGTCGCTAGACCAGGGCAGAAAGGGAGCTAGTCTTACATCACTTCCAGTGACCTCGGCCGCCTTGGCCCTGGTAACCTGTCCCCACCTGTGGGCCCCGGGGCACGAGGTGCTAAAGGTCTCGCACGTAGGGCAACAGCTCTCCCCCGCACCGGCGCCTCCAGTGCCGGGGCGCTGGCTGGGCAGCCGCTCAGGGTCCAGCCTTGAGGGGTGAGTCGAGCCAGCCCGCCCACGGCGAGGGAACCGGGCCCTCAGGAGACGGTCCTCGGGGCCAGACCCGCCCCGTCGCTCCTGGGCGCACGTACGCGCCCGGCCCCTGCCGGGTGTCCAGCTACGGGTACTCTCCGGGTACTCCGTCCAGGAAGCGCTGCAGCCCCTCTGTGCCAACCCTCCCAGGTGCCCTCGGCCCCCAACATCCCTCCTGACGCTCAGCACTAACTCAGGGCAGTGGTCGCCGCGTCTGTCCCTGAGTCCCAGCTAGAGCCAGGTGGGCGCCACGATCCCGCCACACCGAACTGCTCCTCAGCGCAGCGCGCCGCCGGCGCCTGCGCACGCGGCACCGCCCGCCCTCCGGACTCGGCCCTTCCTGCGCCTGCGCACGCGGCCCCACCTGCTCTCGTGGCACTCCGCGCGGCGTCCGGCTGAGCGCCCTCCCATCAACCCTCGCGCCCTGCTGCCCTGCTGGCAGGGCCCGGAAGCGCCTGCGCGACCGAGGCTTCAGGACGCAGGGCGCAGGCGCAGCGCGGCTGGGAGGCCAGCGAGGGGCGTTCCGGGAGCCGGCGCGGGGACGTAAGGGTCGGCCGCGCGCACGCAGGGGGCGTGGCCTCACGAGAAGGCGGAGCTGGGAGTCGCGCTGCTCGCGGCTGGGGTCGCAGGCTGCTGCCAGCGGGTTAGTGCGTTGGGGTCCGCGCCCTTCCGTCCCTTCCCGATCCCGGTCCGCGCCGGCCCTGGCCTCGCCTCACGGCGGCCGGTCTCGTCCGTTTTGTAGGTGCGCTCGGACTCGCTGTCGAGGGAACCGGACCGTCGTGGCGCCGCGTGGCCGCAGGTAGGTGGGCTTCGTGCGGCGGCGCCTGAACCGGGCGCGGCCTCGGCTCCGCGGGCGCACGCTGTCCTGTCCCGGGGAAGGGCCGGGTCCCTCGGCGCCGGGCAGGCTGGGGACCTCGCTCCCCGAATTAGCGAGAGCCAGGCGGGGCGGGGTCCCTGGCGCGCACGGCAGCGGCTGCCTCCACTCACAGGGGACAGGAGCGGGAGTGGTTCGTGGTCACCGTTTTTTCAGAGCTCGGTGAGGAACTGGACTGGACGGCATTTACCTGCTGTCTTCGGTCTCTGCCGCCCTAGCGTGTTTTTAGTGTTAGGATGGGACGGGCTTTCGGGTGGAAGACCCCCACCCCCCGCCTCGCCACCAGCGTTGGGGGTTGGGGAGGCAGGTGCTTAGGCCCCTGGCGGCTCCGAATGCTGCAGGCCGCCCTGGGAGGTCCTGGGCGGAAAGACCAAGAGGCCGTGCCCCCTGGAGGAGCTCCCGCAGATGGGGGTAGGTAAACACGTGGGAAGCCGCCCCGAAGGTGAGTGCAGACTGGCGGCCCTAGGTGGGAGCCGGTTGAGCAGTGGGGGCCGGGGTGTGTGTGTGTGTGGAGGGTTTGTTGGGGAAATCGCGCCAGGAGGGGTGAAGCAGAGAGCGCTCTGTGCAGGCCAGGAGTGGACCTCGTGTTGCAGGGAGACTGGGGAGGTGGCTACCCTCAGGCTGGACTGCGGGAGGACTCCTTGCATCCGACGGGAACTGCACCTCTTTTGTTTTGCGTTTCTTTGGGTTGCTCTGGGGTGATGGCCACTTTGCAGGGACCACCTTGGGGTGGGGAGAGTAGACAGAGCAAGTGGAATTTAACTCGGGATCGGATTCTGGGCTGTTGACAGGGAGGGGAATGCAGGGAGGATGTGTTTGGGGTGGGTGTGGCTGCACTGTGAGTAGCGACATGAGTCTGGGAGACGCAGGACGGGTGTGGGGGTGGGGGGAAAGCTGGAAGGCACACAGGTAGTGCTTGCCATGCTTCTGGGGCTGTGATCTAAAAAGATCTTATGACACTCTGCACCTGACGGTATAGTGCTTTGGCGGCTGGGAGACGGTTCACAGGACTGTGAAGCGTAGCTTGTAAATGGCGTGGTGACGTGTGGTGGGGTCAGCTGCCTCTGCCACTTACTGGTTGGCGTGTGTGGCCACAGACGAGTGACTTTACTCACCACCGTGCCTCGGGGTCAGCCTCATCAGGGGTCATTGTTGGGCATGACTAGAGCCGTCAGTGAAGGTTGTTATTGTCACTCCTGAAATTCTTTGACAGCCATCCAGGCTGTCCAAGGAAGCCCAGGGGGATCTGATCTGGCCTCCTGGGATTGACATCACCGCCATCCTTGCCTTTGAAACATCCCAGGTGGTGTGTACCTGCTTTCTGGGACCTCCCAGGCAGGCCTCTGGGCCCCCTTGCATGGAGAGCTCCTGGTGGGGGCCCAGGGTCGGCTGCCCAGTGGTGGTGGTTGGGCCTAGTTCCCACTCTTCCCACCTTGTTTTTGGACAGATCGCCTCGGATGGTGGCCTGCGTCTGACAGTCCCATCAGCTCTTCTCAGCTCTTCTGAGGCCGCAGTGGTCAGCTCCCCGCTCAGCACTTGCCTGGAGCACCCCTTCGCAACCGTCTGTCCCGTGTCTGCGCGCCGCTTCTGCCCACCCTCTGGGCGCCGTCCCTCCCTCCTCTCCCCCTTCTTTCTCTAGTTGACGTGGCAGCTCCCGTCTGCTCCCAGCATGCCTCGTGGCCGGCGCCAGGGCCTTCGCAGTCCCATCCGGGCGGCAGCCAACTACGCCAATGCGCACCCCTGGCAGGAGGACGGGGCCACTCCTGGGGTTGCGTACACCCCCTTAGTGGATCCCTGGATTGAGCGGCCCTGCTGTGGGGACCCTGTGTGTGTGCGCACGACCATGGAGCAGAAGAGCTCGGCGAGTGGTGCTGTGGGCTGTGAGCCCGCAGAGAGGGGCCCCCCGGCAATGCGCATGGGCCCGCGGCCCCGCAGGGTGGACTTCCACTGGGTGCCTGGCTCAGACCCAGGCACCTTCGATGGCTCCCCTTGGCTGCTGGACCGCTTTCTGGCCCAGCTGGGCGATTACATGTCCTTCCGCTTTGAGCACTACCGGGACAACCTCAGCCGTGTCTGCGAGATCCTCGGGCGCCTGACGGGCCGAGCCCGGGCGTGGGCAGCCCCCTACCTCGATGGGGACCTGCCGCTGCCTGACAACTATGAGCTTTTTTGCCAGGATCTTGAGGAAGTTATTCAAAACCCAAACAACTTTGCTGAGTACCACGCTGCAGGGCCCTATTCTTTGCCTCTGGCCTCGAGCCAGCCACCAGTGGCCCCACAACTGCCTGTGGTGAGACAGTACTTAGCTAGGTTCTCAGAGGCCTTGGCCCTCAACATGGGCACTCCCCCCAGGTCTGTCCCCGCTGCTCTGGCCACCCCCACTGTTTCTAGTTCCAATTCCACATCTAGAAATGCTCTATCTGAGCAGCTGCTAGCCATGGAGAGCAGCTCTGGGCCTGCGGAGCCTTCTGCCTTGTCCAACTCTGCAGGCAGCACTGGTCCTGGTCCCGTGGGGCCAACTTCTTCCCAGCCGGGGGAGGCGGCCCCCAAACCTGTCCTTGCAGTTGCAGAATCTGCTGAACCCCCTGCCCAGAAACCAGGTCCCACTAACCCAGGGGGTCCAGGACCCCAGAAAACAAAGGAGGAGGTTTCTGAGACAGAGGCAGGCCAGGAGGCATCCTTAAGTACCCCACAGGGGGCAGTGGACACCCCAGCCACCCCAGGAGAGCCACCATTCTGTCCCACGCCCCAACCCACAGCACTGGATTCCGAACACGGCCTGGGCAGGTGTGGCAGTGCCCCCTTATCATGAAGTGGTCTGCGTGGCCAGGGAACCCCACGGCCCCCCTGTCAGGACAGTGGGGTATTGCCAGCTAACTCTAGATGGGGTGCACCAGGTAGTGCCCTGTCCACTTGCCCCATTGCTGGGCAGGAGATGCACTTGTTTGGCGTCTACCGTGTCTGAGCACAAACAGCTCCCCTTAAACTCCCACCCCAGGGCACAGCAGGACAGTGGCCTCTGCCCTGTGCCCCTCATTCTCCAACTCACTCAGTGGCCCAGAGACTGCCTCCCACTGGGTTCTTGGCTGCATCCTAACACCTTGTTGGGAAGTGCCTTCTCACCTGGCCTGTTCCCGCTAGTTGGAAAGAGTTGCGTAGGTCAGTCCCCATCAAGTTTGTACAGTCCTTGTAACTAGTCCCCCCCAAACCCACCCCCTTCAGTGCTGGCTGGGACTGGACTGGGTCCTCTGGTCCAGCCCTTTTGGACCTAACTCTTGTGGTGTCTGCTTTGACTCCTGCCCCAATCTCTGCTCCCTGTGTCCCCTATCCTCTGGACTGGAAGTTACGGAAGGTTGCATGGAGGAAGCAGCTGCTTTCATTATTCAGTGTAAGTGGGAGGGTGTCTTGGCAGAGAAGGGTGCTTCCCTACGTACGGGCTTACCAGCAGCCCTGGCCCACTGGGACAGCTTTAATGCAGGAGGGTGGAGTGGGGGCCTCCTTGCCAGTCTCAGCTCCCTTCCAGGCATTTGCCTGCAGTGTTAGCATCTAGTCTTGTTTTGGCCCACACTGCCCTCCCCTCTGCTCTTCAGCAGTCCTGCCTCCACACCCGCTCGTGTACTTGGCTGCTTCAGCACTCAACGCCCAGCGCTGTAATGACTTGTGCCTCTGGATGGACTGTGAGTCCCTAGGGCAGGGCTCCATCAGTCAACCTCGTGTCCCTGCAACACAATCGGTGCTATTAAACATGGGTTGGTTCCATGGCTGAGTGAGTCCTTGTCCATCAGTGGGAGCAGAGTCTGGGCCCAGCCGCGAGCACCTGGTCAGCATTGCAGGTGTGGTTCATGGCAGGGGCTTGGATCATTGCAGGGTCTGGCTGAATGGGTGGGAGTGGGAGGCTTGGTGGGAGGAGTGTGGCCTTGAGAACTAGCTTCCTGGCCAGCGGTGAAGTGAGCAGGCAGCAGGCCAGGGCTGTGAGTCCCCAGGGCCGAGGGTGGAGTGAAGGAGTACCCGCTCTGCACAGGGACGGTTTTCTAGTAACAGAGCTGACTGGGAGGCTTCTCCAGCCCAAGTCAGCACAGGATGGGCACAGTGCATCTGCTCCGAGGGGCAGGTAGGCAAACATTTCAGGCCCCTGTGGGTCCTATAATTGGGAAAACAACACCTTCCTGGAGAGTAGGAAAGAAAAAGAAGTGGAAATATAACTGCAGTCAGAATGTAATTTTAGGAAGGAAAATAATAAGCAAATGGTAAAAAAATTTTAAGTAAAATAGACATTGTTGGGATTACTTCATTAGTAATTTGCTTGAAAAGGTTCTGGGTTCAGGTGGTTTTATTTCTGAGTTATTTTACGGCACAGACACCTCATAAGTAAAACAGCTGCGAGTTTTAGAAGTAGGTGGGAAGCTGATGTAGCCCCAAAGCAAAACAAGCAAGCTGATAAGAAATCAGCGTGCGCCCTTGGTTCTGATCCAGTGGAGGAATTTGGATGTTCCAGCCCAGCCTGGTCACACTGCTGCCCCCATGCTATTGTTCAGGCCCAGGCCCTCCTCCTGCAGGCTGTCCTGGTCAGCTGTGGCCTGGCCCACCTATGGGTCTGGTGTCGTTGGCAACATTGGGGCCCCAGAGCTGCCCTCTGGGGCGGGTGACCCAGTCAGCAGCTCTGCACAGGCTGCCTCTCCCGTCTCCACTTAGTGGACCTGGAGTGAGTTCCCTCAGCCCAAGATTTCCATCTTCCCTTCTGACCCCCGGTCTCACTGGGGGCCTTTTCCCCCTCGGGCCCCAGACGGCTCCTGCAGGTTCAGGTTATGGTCCAGCATACCTCTCATGAGGGTCATCTGCAACGGCAGGCCCGGGGGCTCTGGGGAGAGACTGGACAGGTGACCTGTGGAAAATGGGTCCTGTTGTTGTGCCCTGGCCATGAAGAAAAGGACGGGAGGGCAGGCCTCAGTTGTGAGGGCAAGGTCACCCATTCCTGGGGTCGGGAGAGGGTGGGAGGGTGCAGGCCTTCCAGACTGGCAGTGCCTATGGTTCCGCAAAGTGACTGCCCCATCTTTAGCTGGCACTGTGCCCTGCCTTTGGGCAGATGTGATGACCCAGCTGCTCTCCTCTGGGGGGGGGGGTGAAGGAACACAGAGGGCCAGGAGAGGGGGCTGTGCTGTGCGTGGCAGGAGAAGGGCCCTTGGGTCATGGCCACTCACAGCTCTGCACACGTAGGCAGCCCACCCAGAGGAGGGTGCTCTGGGCCTGGCAGGGTTGCTGGATGTGCTCAGGGTGGGCTGTGCTGGGGCGTGCATTCCAGACCATTGTGTCTGTCCCTCGCTTCCTTTGGAAATGCCCGGAGGTCTCATTTTCTAAAGCTGGGACACGGTGGGCACTGTGGGAGGGTTTGTAAAGCGCCCGTGTCCAAGGAAACTTCTAACACCGGAAGTGTTGAGGATGAGGTACTGTGAGATACAGAACATTTTTTAAAGCTGCAGGAACGAAAGGACGTGGAAATTGGTGTGGAAGGATGAGCAGAGAACTTGTAAATAAAGCCGAATAAATACAGGGGTTTAGTTCACGCTGGCAGCGCTGTTTCCAATTAATGGGGGTAAAGTGGATCATTCAGTGAGAGGACTTGGAGCAGCTGGTCGGTTGTCTGGAAAACAGTGAAACTCACTATGTGCCAGCCATGCTTCAGGTGGATTAAAGATTTAACGGTAAAAAGTCACAAAAGCACCATGGGGAGGTACGGGCAGATTTTCTGCTGTGATTCCAGACGTTCTAGGTGCCGGGAACCGCAGGCAGCCTCTGGGCGTGCTGAACCCTGGCCCGCGTGCAGGTGGCGGCTGCTCGCTCCATGGTCTCAGCTGAAGCATGAGCCATTGGAATCACCGGTCCTCAAGGGGGCGGGGTAGGGCTGAGTGCCCAGTGGGGGTCACCGCCTTGTTAACAGCCTGGAGGTCCGGCAGCGAGGAGTGCGGTCCCCAGGCTGCTGGCGCTGTGTTGGTCAGGGCGGGCCGACTGTGCTGCAGGAACAGAACCTCCACATGGTGGCCACCCCATCCATTGTGGTCCCTCGGGCCGTGCCGACGGCTCCACTGGCTACATTTCTCCATGACCGCAGAGACTGGGGAAGGACCGCTCTGAACCACTCGTGGTGCACGTCACTCCTCTCCGTTCACCTGGCCTGAGGGAGCTGCTGCGCCCTCCCGCGAAGTGGGTGGGGCCCTCAGCGCCGAGCCACAGGACACAGCCATGCAGCCGTGAGGGGGGCCACATGGGCTGTGGGGAGAGATGCCCATGCTCACCTGCTCAGGCTGTGTGGCCTAAGTGACAGGAGGTACTTCCTCCCGGTCCTGGAGCCTGGGCATCCGAGATCCAGGTGTTGGCAGGGTTGGCTGCTCCCGAGGCCCCTCACCTCGCTGTGTGTCCCCCGATGGTCTCCCTCAGTGTGTCTGTCCTCGCCCCCTTATGAGGACACTGGTCCTATTGGATCAGGGCCCACCATATGACCGCATTGAAGCTTAATCCCCTCTTTGAAGCCTCTGGACACAACCACGTCTGAGGTGCTGGGAGTGGAGCTTCAACATGGGAACTTGGGGGAGACAGCTGGGCCATCAGAACGCCCGATGTGGATTTCTTTGTTTCCCATCTTTGCAGTCTTGGGCAGTGCTGTCATGAGCATCCTTCTGATGTCGCCCCTGTGTGCAGAGCTGCTCCAGCCCTAAGCAGGACGTGCCCAGTTGTTCTGTATCTGGGACCCCTACAGAGGGTGCGAAGATGTCACTCTATATTCCCAAGTTTAAACATTCTTCCTTTCACGTGACTCTGGAATCTCCTGTCTCCCTGTCGGCGGGGCCGTAGGAAGGTGAAGAGGGACGTCCCTGGCTGCTTTCCACCTTTGCGTCCGAGCAGCCGGCCTGGGCCTGCGGTCGGGAGTGAGCCCGCGCTCTTACACCTGCCTGTGCGGGTGGCAGAAGTGCAGTCATGGTGCAGGGACACCTGCTGGCCACTGGGAGTGCCACATCGGCCCCCGAGCGGCCTCAAGTGATAGCGCCCTTCACCACCACCATGCTTAGGGGCCCCTCTCCAAGTGGGACTGGGTTCACGGGAACTTCCTGGGCACCAGCCCGCGGGCATCAGCCCCGTCCCAGGCCCTGGGGAGGGCCGTCTGGGCACTGATGTCAGCCCTGGGGAACTGGCCCCTGTAGACCATCCCTCCTGGCGGTAGTGGGCCCCAGAGGCCGGTGCTGGTGCCTGGGAACGGTCCCACTTCCTGTAAAATATGGAGCTTTTCTGTGCGTTCACCGGGAACAACCAGGGCGGAAGCCCATTGCTAGCCGGTCCCACCCCGGCCCCTAAGTGCCAAGCAGGCCGGCTGAGAACACCCAAGTGGCCTTCCTTCCTGCCATCTCCAGCTCCTGGACCAGTGTGGCTCCTCACCCTGGCATTTCCTCCTGGCCCGGCAATCATGGCCCGTCCCCCCATCCCAAGGAGTCCAATTGGCGCCTCCAAGCCCTCAGCTGTAGGAAGCCCTTCGTACCTTGTGTTGGTTAGGCCACAGAGGTACTTAGGGGTGAACGGGCTGTGCTCACCTCTGCCCAGGCACCCATCATATCATGTGGACCTTGACCCCAGCAGAGGAGCCTGGTCCTCTGTGGCCATCTTCCCCAAACACGGGGCAAGTTGGAAGGGACACTCACAGCCCCCAAGGGGCTTCACACGAATTGCTGGCAGCTGCCCAAGGGCCCGGGATGCTGCCCCAGGGATGTGAGGTCAGCGCTGCTGCTGCCTGAGCAGTGGATCCTGCCAGAGGGAGCAGCGTCCCTC